GGTTGACAAAGAGATGAAGCCGAATAAACAGCTCCCGATATATATTCGGGTATAACAATACGATGCACTCAAAAAAAATTACCCCGCATACTCGGGGGACATTTCAACACCAGTGCTGTGGCCATATCTCGGGCATACAGTAAAAGGTTAGAAAAAGAAGATGAGAAATAGAATTTTGCAAATTTAACAAAAGAAATATAAAAATTGTGTTTGAGGTGAGAATGTGTCTATGCAAGTCAATTATATAGCTTCGAAGCGGTCAAAACAGCTTTTCACCTCGCACTCTATCAGATAAGTAGGCACTGGGTCTTCAACGCCGCGTCAACACCGGCCTGATTGCGGCAGCTGAGTTGGGAGGCGGACGTGGGACTATCTGGCAATAGGACAATGGTTGGTGTAACTAAGCTGTCCGTCGTAGAAATTTCATCCCTTTAAGTGATTTGTCCTAAGTTGTTATGATAGTCGATATGGCCTGTCACAGTTCATTCTGGAATGGAGTTTCCCTTAACGTGACCGATTAGTTTTCCTGCAACTGCATGGCATCACGAAGGTCAGCAGTTGGAGGCTGAGGAATCCGAATGCCTTTGCGCTCATCGCCTTCTTTACCAAAAATATTACTGAGACGATATCCATGTAAGATGCAGATCTTTGGCAGCACTGATTTGGTTGTAGCTCAATGATCTGATGACTGAGTTGACATTGCCTCCTCTGGATCGCTTGCAGCTGATCTGCGTCAAGAAGATGATGATGCCCTTGGAACTCTGGTCTTCTTTAGAGAGATAAATCTCCAGAGCACTTTTGATGGCGACTAGCTCGCATGTACAGTTGGAGGCGAAATATAGAAAATTGTGTATTATAACCAGCATAAGCAAGTAAGAATTTATATTCAGCTTACTATTTAGCCTACTACTAAAATTTTTACAATACAGTAGGAACAAGCTAGTAGCATACATATATGCAAGTAATAAATTTTAAAAATGCGAAACACGTACGTTGTTAAAGCTCTAAAAATAAAATGTCGAGTTTTTAATATTCAAATGCCCCGTGCAGATTCATCTATTTCTCGTTTAAGACACCAGATTTGTTAAAGTGCGTCCTGAATTTTGCGCTAAATCAACCGTCATATGTACATAGCTGGCACGGAATTTCTTTCTAACAAAAGAGAATCAAAATTTACTTATTTGTTTAAGCTGAATTCATTTCTCCCATTTTTTTAGATTTTAATCCCCTCAACAAATGAACTGTAACATTTCATAACCCGTTGAAAAATCCCGTTAAAAAGGTGTTAAGCTCACTTTGTTAAATAAATTCGTATTTAATGGATTTATTGAAACACGAAATTTATTTTAAGTTCGTAAAATAGCTAAAGTGCCTACGTTTCATGACGATGTAAAAATGGAGTATGTAGAGTAAAATCTCGCTTAGTCCATGTAAAATCTCGCTTAGTCTTAAAACACTTAGTCCACCAGGTGATGTTAAATATACGAGTGCAAGTGAATTAATCAAAAAGAAGAAATGCCTTCAGGTAGTAATTTTTATAGGTATGTGGATTATATTCCTGATACGCAAAACAACAAAAACATCAAGTATGTAAAAGGAAAACTTGGAACAAATTCACTCTAAGTAGTCTACCATCCTATTTGCACTAACTCAGACGCTGTAGATGTGTTCAGGCACTTGTAACAAATGAAGAGCTCCCTCTAGAAAGGTAGCTTGTTCACTCAAATAGTTCTTTTTGTAGTCAGACTAACTCCTTAGGGGCAGTGGCGTAGTTAGGGAAACAAGGAGGATATCTATTGCCAAGTACAGCATTCAGGAGGCATTTTATTTTTCTTCGCGCTTGCATTTTGGCAAAGAACAGTGGCGGGGTGCACGAAATTTTCAGTTGTTCCCGACCACTAAAACATCCCAGGTACATCTTTGCTTGACTCATACACCTTAAAACCCATAAGATGTTGGAATAGGTGACTGTTGCAAGAATTGGGATAACTTATTTATTTTAAAAGCAATTACTACCATTTTTTACAGCTGGCTACATAACATAGCTGCTTTCTGAAATAGTAATCAGAAAGTTTGTGTTGCCACAAATATTTTTATAATTTAATCCGCTTCGTGACAACATTTTTCGTCATGTTTCCAACTTGCGCGCACAGTTTAAAACATTCTGCTTCATAATTTAATTTCTATTTAATATATAGCTTTTATAACATTAGAAACTACTGTGAACCTAAAATTCTAAAAATTTCATGTTAAATTTTTATTTTTATTGGAGTTGAGTTTATGTAATTATTAAAAAAATTTGTAATGTTTTCGTCCATAAAAAATTTCGATATTAAAATATTCATCAGATTGTTGGTTCAGTTCGAAAATAGTGCCCATATAAAGAATTCCATCACATTTCAATATGTACCATTAGCCATTTTAAAATATCGTGCGCGCAAGGTGGAAACATGGCGAAATATTTTATCACAAAGAGGATTAAATTACAAATATTTGTGGCAACACAAATTCTGGTTATCAATTTCCAAGCAGCTATATTATGTAGTCAGCTGTAAAAGTTGGAAGTAATTGCTTACAAAATAAATAAAATATCCCAATTCTTGCAACAGTCACATATTCGAAGATCATGAGGGGTTTAAGGTGTATGAGTCCCCATAAGGCACCGACTGGGTATCTTAATTGCCTGAATTCAAATTCATCAGAGAATTTCAAATTATTAGTAGTTCTGATTGAAATTATTTGAATTGTATACTGGAAAGCATTCACTCTTCCCGAATCTTAAGATTATAAGGTATTTCTCCCGCCTTCATAGCGAGCCTTCGTGGTGTAGTGGTCTGCACGCTCAGCGCGTTATTGAGAGGTCCGAGGTTCGATACCCGCGAATGCTTTGCTAATTTTTTATCTTGCCTGCTTCCAAAAATACCTAATGTCTCCACAAGATCATTTATCTAACTGACAACTACGCTGAAAGGGCTTTCTCAAATCGTTTTAAATGAGAATACAGATCCTTAATGTTTGCTTTCATTATATTATCAATAAAAATTAAGCCATAATCCCTAAAAATAAATATCAATTTGAATTAGTTTTAAATAGTTTTACTATACTGACATATTTAAACGTGTATGCCATAGACTTCCAGTTTCCGTTTCATTAAATTCTATTTTGTAGTTATGACATTAATCCTCTATGGGGTCTAGCTGGTGTTGCCAGGCATAAATTCAAATTCCCCACTTTACAAATGCGTTGCCAGATTGAACTACATAAACTCTTTAATTTATTGTACAAATTAAAGCAGTTTAGCTCGATGTATGGAAAATGGGTAAAAAAGAGCAATTTGAAAGTTAAAAATGTACTCTTTTATTAACCAGATTTATGTTTTATTTTTAATATTATAGCTAATTCATATAATACACGGAAAACATTTGTACTTTAAAATAATTTTAAATAATTTATAACATACGATTTGTTCCATTTAGCACACTTAGTATAATTATTAAAGTCTATTTATGCTTCAACTTCGGAATCTATTATGCAGTTTAAACATAAGCAGAATAGTCATTTGTATGACACCTAATGAGAAGTTTGTTACATATCTGTCTATTTTAACTTTAACAGTACAGTAGTATCCTGCAATAAGGTTGCTCCGTATGCAGAAATTTTGAATATTTTATCAATTTCATTTAAAATTACTATTTTGATAAATACTAAATACAACCTTAGTGGCAGTATTGATTCAGTTCAAGAAGCTATAAAAGATTTCTTAAGAGTTTTTGAGAGTTTACTTAGTATATGAATATTCAGGCAGAGCGAGGGGGGGAAGAGAGACACAAGAAGAAAAACACTCCTAAATAAAACTTAAAATTAGGCAAAACAGCCATCTTGTGTTTGATGTAGATTTTATTTTAAAACCCTTATCGAGTTTGAGGAAAAATAGGTCCCTCTTCATCAGGAGATAAAATCTCCGCAAAGAAGGGAGGAGCTATTACTGGTTGACACTTTTGCCTAATTTTTAATTCTTGCAAAGGCTGCGAACTTTGGTGATACAGTGAAAGCTTCTTATATAGAGTTATTAGGTTTCTCCAAGCAAGAAACATAAAAAATGTACAATGCCATCGCTGAAATTCGAACTCAAAACTTTTCGATGGCTAGCCGGACGTTCTTCCAATTACACTACGAAGGCAAGGGTTAAGGAGGACGAAAATTCCTTACAACTTATATGTAGACAATGAAATCGTGAATTCAATGCTCTACTGAATATATAATTTTTTAACATATAATATTTGCATTTTGCAAAATAGCAAATCATTATACTGATTTGAATCATTGTAATTATAAAGATTACTGAACAATTACTAAGAACGCATTATTTAAAAGATATTTATCTTTTGATATTTATACGTTTGTCTTAAATTATACTTTATACATCAGTGAATAAAAGAAATTATCTCGTTGTAGAGACATTAGTCTATTTTGAAGCAGGAGGGATGAAAAATGAGCAACGCCTTAGCCGGAACTCGAACCACGAGCCTTTCGAATACGCGCCGAGCTTGCTGACCACTACACTACGAAGGCATGCTAAGAAGGCAGGAGAAATACCTTATATACTCCCCCTTTTAAAGAGCAACTGTCGTTTAGGGGATACAGTCACCAAATCCTGGTGGTGTAGATTCATCATCCACCAAATTTGTTTTTAGTTCGGGCGCCACTGTAGAGATATTAGGTTATTTCGAAGCAGGAGCGAGAAAATGAGCAATGACTTTGCCGGGACTCGAACCACGGACCTCTCGTCGAGCGTGCTGAAGGCACTGACACTACGAAGGCATTCTAAGAAGGCGGGAGAAATACCTTGTATCGCCAGTAATCCCAGACGCCAATAAAGATTCATACTAGATAAATTCTTCACGTTAAGACTGTCTTAATAGTTTTGACACACATACCCTGTGGATAACTCACATATGCTGACTATAAGCCTTTATTTACTCAGAAATTTATGTACTTACTGTCATAGGAGTAGTCCCAAGCAGCTTCCCTCAGGTCCCCAGTAGAAGCAGCAGATGTACTCCACTTCTCCAGACGAGATTGTTCACTCTTCCTGTTTTGAGAAAAACTTCTCACGCTGCCACCATAACGTCTGACCGGTGAACCGGCATCACCCGCCCTGCTGCGGACACTGTCCAGTCCTTGTTCATTAGACTGAGTCCTAGCAACGTTCGACTGGCTCTTTCGGTGCTCCATCCGCCGTAAATATACACCTCTTGCCTCTCGGGCCTTTTTCATTCGCACATCGTCACTTCTCGAGGCGTCAACCCTACTGTGCCTTTCGTGGTAACTAGATTCCCCCTGCCCATGTTCTACAGAAGATGAAGTTAAGTTTTGTTCCGAATATACTCTATAGCTATCATATTCACCAGTACCGTCAACTGGTACAGGGGTAAGATTGGATTCCAAAGTTGCTGAGGGAAGAGGTGTGTCCCCACTTTCCTCGCTGCTACCAAGCTCTTTCACCTCGACTTCGATGGTTAATTTTCCGTTCTGGTTGACCAATCGTCCTTCCTCAAGGTCGTTTGTAGAAGCATTCACTTCGCTGTCATTCCTAGAGTTTTGCGACCTTTCAGAATCGTCTTCTTTGATGTCGGATCGGTTGTAGTCTGAGTCGGTGATTTCAGAGTTCGCTTCTTTTGCATCGGACTCCGTCTGATTATTCGATTCGGAAGATTCTCTACTCCCGCTATTCTCGGAGATGTCCTCCAGGGCTTCTGGATGTCTTTCATTAGATTCTGAAAAAAAAATAAATAATGAAATTCGAGTATTTAAAAATTGTATTTTTTAAAAGTATCTGATGACTTCGTTAAGAAGAGGAGTGACATATTTGATTAACATATCGGTTCAAATAAAATAAGTAATATATTTGATTAGCGTATCAGTTCCAATAAGAGAAGTAATATGTTGGATTAGTGTATCATTTCGAAATGTATTTTTACATCAGGCGAATTATAAGACAGAAACAATTAAGCGAAGTACAGTAAATGTATCATATCCTTTTCTGTTATTTGCTCAATATTATGTTAATATAACCAAAAACAGAATTCATAAAATTAATAAAAATTTCCTTCTTACTTTCGTTTCTGGAGGAAATTAAATAAGTAAAATACAAATACAAGTAAAATACATACAGTAAAATACAAATTAAATAATAAATTTAATAAATATTAAATAAGTAAAATAAATAAGTACAATACAAAATACAAATTAAATAAGTAAAATACATAATTAATTGTATACATACAAATATACAATTAATTATGATAAATATTTTTATTTAAATATAACACCAATATTCTTACTGAAATAAAAAAGCAAAATTTGATATATATTATTTTTGTGCGTATTTAGTATGTAGCAATAATAAAATTATGTAAAATTCTTAAATAAATAATTAATTATAAGTAGAATATATAAACAAATAAAAGGCGTTATTATTTTAGAGATCATTTTATTTTCATACTAGCCGCTTTGCGGCCAACCTTTTTCTGGCTTTTAAATGTACAGGAAAAATGCCTAAAGGGAACAACATCAAACATTAAATTAAAAAACTGCACAGAATTTTACTCGGCAGAAGAGTTTTATCAAGAAAAAAACACAAATTTCAATGAAAAGTATTACATATAAAAAATTCACAATGGAATAAGCAATATCCCTTGATACAAATATTAATTATCCTAAGAAATAAATTTACTCTTCCCGTTGCCTTCTCTATACAAGCGTCCAGTATCCAAGAGACACATTAAATTTAAAAACTTCGCAGAATTATCGACCTCATTTTTAAGAGTGGCAACAATGCTGATATCAGCAACAGTGGCAACAGTGATATATCAGCAACAATGGCTGCGTGCTACTGAATTATCGATTTGATACGATTTCATCAAAAAATATAAAATAAAAAAACTCATTCGAATTTTGCAAAAATTGCTTCGAGATGCACTGGCTCTTGCCTGGATGCACCCTATGTATCAAATTACGTAGCCCTGGGTCTATAAACTTACGGGCAGCACGGACGAAAGACACACAGACAGACTCTTCCTTTTATACATATAGATGATGAATATATAAACATGCAATAAAGTTTTTAATGCCAACAAAAAATATTTATGAACAGAAATAAAACTGATCCCTATGAATAATTGTAAAAATTCATAACGGTTTACGGGAGTTCCGGAAATGGTTTTTAAATTTTTAAAATAAGATATTAGTAAGATCTCAGATTCTCAAATATCTCAGATTTTCAAACAAATGGTTCCTTCAAATATAATGCAATATAAGAAATTTTAATTCGATATCTTCTTTTGCAAGCAGTGAAAGAAGAGCTCCTAATGAATAACTATTTCCAATTAATGACGAACTCTCTATTATACTTTGTGCTTCTAGTTCAAAACCTAAATAAATGTTTGAATTCCAAAGAAAATTTGACGCTTTTTAATTTATAAATTGGGTCCTCGTAAAAATGGGCTTTTTAGCCTAAACGGGCAATTTGCCCAGTGCTATTAATTTCGTTTTGACATTTTACATTGTTTCACCGTAAACGGTATTTCACTTTACAAATTGTTTACACAAAATATTATGAACCTGTATTATATTTAAAGAAATTAAATAATGAAGAATCTGCATGGATATATGTATGTTTCTAGCATTGTGAAAAAACAACGGCACATAGAGACATCAAATTTTGAAGAACGTAGTCCTCCACTCGAATATGGGTATCTGGAAGCCCGAATTTTGGATTTGTTTTATTATCCATTTTATATTTTGTAAACATTTAGTCAGTTTTTCATTAACAAACTCAACAATTTCAAAGCGAGCAATGGCAACACTGTACGAAAACAAAACATTTTTATCCTTAGAGCGTGAGCCTGCGTATTGGAAATTCTAAAGATTTGCTCTTTTTGAATTATTTTGTGATATTGCTGTTGAATTGAATTTTATATTTTAAGTGCGAAGAACATGATATTTAATAAATAAAGGTAACTCGCAAAACGTTAAAAACGGACCTTTGGGCATAATATAAAATCTAAAAGAATTTTCAGATTTTTATTTTTCCTTATCTGTCTTTTAGTTTTGATCTTATTGTGTCATTATAAAACAAGAATACATATCCTAACAAGAATACATATCCTGCTTAATATTGGCAATACGAATCATGAAACATTTATTGTTTATATAGAGAGAGAAAGAGAGAAACATATGTTACCGTGAAAGATATAAAATTGGAGAATGTCGACTTTCACCGGAGAATATCAACATTCACCAAATACGTCGGTGAAAAACCGAATATTTCACTACATTCTTGTATATTCGGACCCTCACGGTTTATGTCGACAATCACAGATATGCTCTGGTGAAAACGAAAGAGAGTTCATAAAGTGCCATAATATTAAGTTGTGCAATAATAAGATTTGAATCACATAATTTAGTAAGAATTTATTACGGTTATTTATTTTCTCATTTAGACGTACTGTATAATTAAGTAAGTTTTTACTTCTATTATTTTCCTTTTCATTTGAATGTATTGTGTGTTTTAGGTTCTCATAATCTTAAGTTCTTATTTCAAGTCTCGAGTGCGTTTATTCGCGACTGAATGACGGAGAAGAAAATATAATATTGTTATATGTTATGTGACATTGCCGGTGTGTCCGAATAGAGTATTTGGAAAATATTTCGGACATACACCAAGAGACTATGTGAATGTTGACATTCACCGGTGAAATTCGACATTCTCCAGATTTCGATGTTTCACCGTAACATATGTATTATATATATATTAGCAGGTTTTGAAACTCCTTTTTAATTATCTTTTTATAAATGTATATTTCTTGATAAGGGATTGCAATAAATACCTTTTCATATTATTTAACTTTGTTCTAGCTTGTACATCAGTTGAAGAGTTTAGTAAAAATGCTAACCACTATTATTATATGGAGTACCAACTAATAATTTATTACTTCATCATTATTCATAATAACTGCTTATCTGCCCACTTATTTTCCCATAAACGTATTCTCTATCGATTTTCTGATCAAACCAGACATCCACTGTTGCGAGAGAATTCATGAAGCTGAACTTCAAGAGTAAATTATTCATCTTAATGAAACACCGGTATGTATAACGGCTATTTTCTATATATGCAGTCGAAAACTTCAACAAAAAATAAAAGTTTACAAGTAACATAATTTTTATAACATCCATCGGATATGAATGCAGAATTGCAAAACATTATAAAGGCATTAGTTTCTAATAACTTCAGTCATCATGAATAATAATATTTAAAAGAATTGATAAAAATTTATCTGTTAGCACTGACCAACAGATAAGTTACCCGCAGCATATAAAAATCGCCCTAGCTTATTCATTACAGCTAAGACAAATCATTAGACCCGTGAAATAAATAGGAGTCCTATTTTCAATAAAGTTTCAAAACGTTTAGAGGCCAACCAGCTGCCGAATGGTTAAGCCACTGAATACTGGTATTTCTGACCTGGTTTCGATTCCAGGCGAACGGGCGCTGACTGCATGCGTGTTCCTTTGATTTTCCCCATGTATAAGGTGTATACGAGACAAATTCCTTTAGAAAGTCTTCCACTAAGGTATCTCTCTCCATAGGTAGTGAAACCTGGTGTGATTTCCCATAATCTACAAAACCAACCAAAGCAAAACGTTTCGAAATGAAAAGGAGAAATGGAAAGAAGAAGAATAAATTTTGAATAAGTGTGCAAAAGATGTTAAGTGGAAATTCCTATCTGGATTGACGGTATTTAACATAAAAATTATGTGTATTTCTAAGAGAGGCATACAAGGTTCTAGAGACATTAGGTTAATTGAAAGCAGGAGAGATGAAAAATGAGCAGCGCCCTTGCCGGGAACCGAACCACGGACCTCTGGAATACGCGGCCAGCGTGCAGACTACGAAGGCATGCTAAGAAGGCGGGAGAAATACCGTATATACCGGTTACAGCCGAAAACATCGCAGACGAAAATGTCGCGGAGAAACAACGCAAGGCGAAAACGTCGTGCTACAAAACATCGTGGGAGAAAACATCGCAAAGAGAAAACATCGCAGTTCTAAAACATCGTGGTGCAAAACATCGTCGTCGAAAATAAAGCGGTTCAAAAACATCGCATTTAAAAACATCGTCGTTGAAAATATCGTGTAAAAAATAAAGTATCTACAAATCATCGCATGACGATAACATCGCAGACATGCTTTTTTTCAGGCATGCTTAATAAGTGTAAATGGATATTCCCATAATGATTTGTGAGCGCAAAGATGGAAAGAAGGATAATTTTTACTTTCATATTTTTATTAATAAATTTTGCTGAGAAAATAAAAAGGAAACTTAGCATAAAAATTAATGCAACTTATAGCACTTAATAGAATTTAAACACATAGTTAATAACTAACAAGGCCATTAATAATCATTTTCTAAAGTTTTTACTGGAATATTTCATGAAAAGTATAATCTATAAGTTACATTTAATTTTCATGCTTAAGTTTCCTTCTTAAGTTTTCTGCAAAAATTTATTAGTTAATAAAATGTGAAAGTAAAAATTTATCCTTCTTTACACCTTGCGCTCACAAATCATTATGGGAATATCCCTTACACATTATTAAAACCTGAAAAAAGCATGTCTGCGATGTTATCGTCATGCGATGATTTGTAGATACTTTATTTTTTACCACGATATTTTCGACGACGATTTTTTAAACTGCGATGTTTTTGAACCG